ATACGGCATTCCCTTCTAAGTCGTCTTAAATCACAACCTCCTCTCTGAAGGGGCAGTTAAATCTCGCCTAGTTTGCACATAACCTGTTCCTACAGAATAATATGTATTTTTTTCCCCCCCAAGACCAAAGGGTGCGTTTAAGTGTTTGCAGCATTTAATGTTGTTGCCTTCTGTGTGAAATTGACGGATATTGATCCATTAATTTCTGTATAATTCCCTCCCCCACATCCGACACACACCTATACCCGGACCATAGGTTCATTCCTGTTCAATGCAGGCTTTATTTCACCCCCACCCCATTCCTTGTAAACAACATTTACTGTATTTACACATATTTATTTAGTACAGATTATGTTTCAGTGTTTGCATATTTCCATATTCAACATACAGTTTAGTCTTTCTTATCACTCACAAGTGAATCACTTCAAAAGATGCTGTGTGATGCTTTTAACCCTTCAAAAAAAGCAGTTCTTTTCTTTAATGTGTTCCCTGCATTTTCTCCTGTGAAATGTTTTTTTTACAGCTTCTTCTGCCTCGTCTAGATTTTGTTGATCTCTGGCAAAGTTTCCATAGTGCGTGTTTTTGTTGGCTTCTGTTGTGGATTTGAATCTGAGTTGAAGCGGTTGTCAGCAGGTGAAACGGGAAGGAGTTTAAAGACTTGACATCAAGATATTTCTGTTCATTCTAGCTTCTATGTGAGTGAGATACACAGGCAATTGGGGGAGCCAAAGAGAAGGCTGGGGAGGTATTGGAATCTAACAGTAAAGCTATAAAACCCACAGAGATTGTGTCTCTGTATTCTCCATGTGCGCTGTGCACTTATTCTGCCTCCATGTTGCTGTCTCTTCCGAGAATCGGCCTGTCAGACGTTAAGTCCTGTCAATCACTAAGTGCTGTTGGTCCCATCCCAGTTCAAGTATAATCCTTCCACCTTGTACAGATCCCACCTGCCCCAAACTGGTACCAATATTCCAGGAACCTGAAGTCCTTGTTTCTGCACTATTTCTCCAGCCATGCATTCATGTGTTTGATCCTGCTGTTTTGATTCTACTTGCACGAGACATTGGGAGTAATCCAGAGATAACCATCTTTGAGGTCCTACTCTTTAGCTTTTTCCATAGCTTCTGATATTCTCCCTGTAGGATCTCAACCCCTTTTTCCCTATGTCATGGATCCCAACATGGACCACAACTTCTGGATGTTCCTCTTCCCCCTGTAGAATGTTTTGCACCCGTTCTATGATTTGTTCAACCCTGGCACCAGGGAGGCAACATACCATGTGAGAGGTCAAGTCTTTGGTTGCAGAAACGCCTGTTCTACTCCTTTCCAATGATAATTCCATTGATACCCTTCCCTGTCTCCTCCTGTGCATCCATTTGCTTTTGATTCCCCTCCCTAGAGGTGTTATCACTCTCACCAGTATTCAGTACAGAGAACCGGTTTGTGAGTGCCACACTCTCAGGGGATTTCTGCTCTACCTGTCCCCTCTTCCTACCATGCCGGGTGGTCACCCACTCGCTCTCCTTCTGAAGCCTTTGTGGCTGTGGGGTAACTACCTCCTGAAATGTTTGATCCATGAATTCTTCAGCCTCCTGTATACTATGTAGTGACTCCAGCCTCTCCTTGAGCTCAGAACCTAAAGCACGAGCAGCTGGAGGCACTTCCTACACGTTTGTCCAAGGCACACAAAGCAACTGGAGTTCCCACGTGGCACACATTGTGCATGCAATGGGTCCCAACTGCCCTGCTATATTCCCAGACATGTTTTATTTTATTTTAATATAAATATTATATATTTTATATTGATGCACCACTTTCCCCCTCTGCACCAAATTCCCACTCATCAAATTCCTGCACAGAATTCCCGCTCTGTTCCATCCTCACTTAGGTATGGCCAAGCTCTGCTGGGTTCTATACTGAAAAGATCTTAACAACATCCAATTCCAGGTTCTATCCTCCTGTTGGTATATTTTTTCCAGTTTGCATAAGCTCATTTTTCATGTGGGTATTGGATGGTATAACAGAGTGAGGTGGTCACCACTCTTCCTTCCACATCCTTACCTCACTCTCGCAGTGTGCTTGCAGATATCAAAGCCACATAAAGGCATATTTTTCTTTCTACTCTACATCTGCGCCATGACCCGCTCTGCCTTCCCCCACTTCCGCAACGTCACCCGGCTCCGACATTGTCTCACACCGCAGGCTGCCAAAACCCTCATACATGCTTTCATTACATCGAGGCTCGACTATGCAAACTCATTGCTTATCAGCCTCCCCAACTCCTCCCTCCACAGGCTGCAGATCTCCAGAACTCTGCAGTCCGTGTCCTCTCCCGCATAGGCTCTGTGACCCTATCACCCCCATCCTTGCCCATCTCCACTGGTTTCCCATCACACAGAGGATAGACCAAGATCCTGGTCCTCACCTTCAGAGCTCTCCATGGTCTTGCTCCCCCTAACCTCTGCGACCTCCCTATCATCCTGGTCGCTTACTCCACTCAGCGGGCTCCGGCCTGCTTCACATCCCCCGCCTCACTCACCCCACTATCGGTGGGCGGACATTCTGCCACTCTGCCCCTACTCTCCATCCCACAGTCCCTCCACCTCAGCCCCTCCCTTGCCAACTTCAAGACCCATCTCAAGACCCTCCTGTTTGACCGTGCTTTTGATCTCCCCGCTTCCCCACCTTACCCAACCCTGACCCCCAGCTCGGGTCTGTAACTCTGTCTGTCCAGTGTCTTGGGATGTCCTCCCAACGTGAAAGGCGCTATACAACTGTAATTTTGTTGTTGTTGTTTGTGGGACAGAGTCTGTGCTGTTTCAGCAACCCTTCATGAGAAATGAAAAACAATCTCCAGGTATCTTCCAGCTGAGATGCTTTAGATAGCATTTAAACCAGAGTCTCAGTGATGCAGGTCCACCTGTTGTGACCAATTCAGTCAAAGTGTAATCAGCCAGCTTTTCTAGGAATTGAGTTAAAACCTTTTGTCATAAGATTGGATTCTGGATTTGTGCATGGTGCTGATGGGACATGGTAAGAGAAGTGCGTGTATTTTGATTATAAAAGATCAATGATCCTACTTTTGTTTTTAAAAAAATTGATGGCCAAGGGGTTGAAATAGCTTTCTCTAAAAAATCTAACTGAAAACTATCTGTGTCCATTGAAAATGAAGATCTTTCTCTTCTTTCTTCTCCCACTCAAATTGGGGTCAGAGCATCTGTGTGTGTGTACGTGGTGGGGGGGCTATTAGGTAAGATGCTTCTGTGTGAGTATCTGATCAGCACTAATCAGGGCTGGCTTGACTGCCTTTCCAATACCCAGTCAAAGACTCATATGGGAATATTGGCCATTTAGCTGACGTGCTCAGGACAGGTGGCATGGAAAGGGGCATTGAAGGGTTGTGTGTGGTGGATGGAATAACCCATGTGTCTACTTTTTGAAGCAACTCGCTGCTGTGTTCTGGAATGGACTTAAAGTGGAATGGGATGAAAAAGTCATTTAAAGTTCAAGTGTTTGGAGGTCTGTCTCACCCTTTTTAAAAAATGTATTACAATACAATACAAAATTACATTTGTATAGCACCTTTCATGTCAGCAGTCAGGGATTTGGACCTGAGCAAGGGGTTTGGGATCAGAGAGGATGGAGGGCAGGGAGGGTAGGAGAGTGCCCAAAGGCACGGTTGAAGGGGAGGATCTTGAGACGTGCCTTGAAGGAGGCAAGGGAGGGAGCAAGGTGAGGGACTGTGGGATGGAGTTCCAAAGGGTGGGCGGAAGAGAGGCTGAAGGCCCGACCGCCGATGATGGGGCGAGTCAGACAGGAGAGGTGGTGCAGGCCACTACCTGCTGAGCGGAGGGAGCAGAGAGATTGATATGGGGTTAGCAGGTCACAGAAGTAGGAAGGAGCAAGGCCATTGAGGCCTTGAAGGCGAGGACAAGGATTTTGAACTCCATCCTCTGGGGGATGGAGCATAGCTAGGAAACAATGACTCATTCCAGGACCTTGGAAAGGAAAGTTGGAGATGGGACAGTAATTTGAGAGCAGTGATGGGTCCAAGGAAAGTTTTTTGAGAATAGGGGTGATGATGGCTATTTTTAAGGAGTGGGAATGGTGCCAGTGTACAGGTTGATGATGTCTGTGAGTACAGGGGCAAGGAGGTGGAGCTGGGAGTTAAAGAGTGGGGTAGGCATGCGGTCGAGTGAGCAGGTGGTGGTTTTTCATATGTTGAGAGATGAGGGGGGAGACATATTTGAAGGTGTGGAGGAATGGATGGTAGGGGCTAGAATGTGAGAGGGAGGTGAGGAGGGGTTGGCAGTTGAAATGGCAGAGGAGGCTGAGGAAATCCCCTTGATTTTGGTCTTGAGGAAGTCCAGCATTTCCTCACAGTTGAAGTTGGAGGAGAGGATGGGCGAGGTGTGAGAAGGTGGGCAGAGGAGTTGGTTGGTGGTGAAGAAGAGGAGCCTGGTATTGTGCTTGGCCTCCAAGATTATCTCCAATAATATATTTTATATATATACACACACAAGCTACAATAGATGTTTAACACAAGTTAAGTAAACCATGTTTGTGTGTATGTTGCTGTTATAAAACTTTTTTTTTTAAGAGGAACCTTTTGAGCAGTTTTACTTCTTTGTGCAAATTGTATCTTTCAACCAAAATTGGATTGGCTTTGGAGTTGTGGGATGGGGGTGGGGGTGGAGAAGGGAGCTTAATTGGAGGTGAAAGTTTTAATTGTGTTGTGGGGAGAGTAAATTGTAAAAAGTAAACAGCCAAATTCAGAATAAATACGCTAAATATTTTTTAAAATAATAATAATTTGGCTACTTAATCCACGACTGTTTGTGGGACACTGCTGTGCACAATTGTTGGCTGCCGTGTTTCACCCACAAATATACAGACAATTTACTTTATAGTATATTCTGTGAAGCGATTTGAGACATTCGAAGATGTGATAAGGCAAGATATCAAATACAAGGATTAACTTTAAGGTGCTTTTAAGACGTTCTTTAATATGATTTAACAAGCTGAGCGCTTTTCTGAAATGCAACTTTTTTCCAATTTCAGGAGGCGAGTTTTATAAGACGGGTTTCTTCTTCTTCTCTCTCTCTGTCTCTATAGTTCGCATGGACATGACCGGTTTCTGTTTATTTTAAAGGAAAAAGCGTATTATGAACAACAACAAAATTACATTTGTATAGCGCCTTTCATGTCAGGAGGACATCCCAAGGCGCTGGACAATTACACATAGAGTCATTAGAAATGAAAGAGGAATTCTGTAAACAAAAGCTGCTGGAAATCTCAACAAGCCAATTAGCCTCCACAAGATAAAAGACATTTTGAGTTTTTGTGTGACTCTTCATACAGTACTGTCAATAACATGGGGACAATCTGTGAATAAGTTGAATTCTGAATTTTCTCAATGTTCAAATATTCACCAGTGCCGCTATACCTATCTTCCCAGGCACATCCTCCTATGTGCAATTCAGCATTTCTGATTCTAATTTTAATTACTCTAATACTCACGAATGCCAGATCTGACTTGGTTTCAATCACTCCCTTATCTATCTGCATTCTGCTTATGTAAAACTTAAGAATTACTTCTACAAACAATGCCTCAAGAGGCTAAAGTGGCCTTTTTCCTCTCCCGCTAGCTATTTTTATGCTAGCTACAGAGCAGATTGAACCTTGATGAATTCTGCACTATTGTGAATAATGCAGTCCTCTTCTGTTCAGATACCTTCACATTGGGTTTGAAACTGTGGTATCAGGAGAGACTAGGGAAGCTAGGATTATGCTCCTTGGAGCAGAGGAGGTTAAGAAGAGACGTAGCAGAGGTTTTCAAAATTATGAGGGAATTCAATAGGGTGAAGAAGGAGAAACTATTTCCACTGGCGGGTGGGTCGGTAACCCGAGGACAACCAATTTAAAATAGTTATTAAAAGAAACAGAGGTGAGGAGAAATTTTTTCACACAGCGAGTTGTTTGGATCTAGAATGCATTGCCTAAAAGGGTAGTGGAAGCCGATTCGATAACAACTTTTAAGAGAGAAGTAGGTAATTATTTGGGGAGGACATTTGCAGGGCTATGGGGTAAGAGCAAGGGAGTGGGATTGATTTGGATAGCTCTTTTCAAAGAGCCGGCAGACATGATGAGCTGAATGGCCTCCTTCTGTGCTGTATAATTCTATGGTTTGGACTTATCCAATTTATCTAGCTTTTTTCTCCCTCTCTTCTAGAAATCGTCATCTCAAGTTGAGTATGTCCTTTGGTCACCAGCAGCCTCCAATACCTTTCCCAAGTGACCATCCTTTTTTGGTGAACCTGGATAGTAAGTGTTGGCAAGCTATTTGATCGAGGGAGTGGAGCAGAGCCTTATTCTGGCTTCACCATCCACATTTGGTGAAGAAGATTCCTTTCACAAGGTTTGCTGGATTGTAATTGGTAACAGAAACCCAGGGACATTTCCCCCTTCCTGGTTTAGAAATATCCAAGTCAGTTCTCCTGCCCCAGGTGAGATCAGCTAAAAACACACAGATCGCTGCAGAGTGTATCCAAAAACCTGAGAAAAAATTCACTTCTAGATATCAGATGAGGGCAGGATTGGCCCTAGATACTCACACTCACTGAAAAATGTTCACTTGGGTTGGTAAGGGTGTCTATAGAACAGTACGCAAGTGAGAGTCAGTGTCTGAGAAAGGAGGAAAAAGCAGCAAAAAGAGTGCCATCGTACCGCAAAAACATGGTCCAACCTCCTTTTGTTGCTGGGATTTCGCTGGGTCAGCGATCCTTTGTACTGCGAATTTCGATCAAATGCATCATTGTTGGCTGTGTGAACAAAAATGTTAATTAAATGGCAACTGTGAGTTTATCAAATAGATTTATTAATGCTGTAGAATTGTCCCCCTTTCCCCTCGGCAAGTCCTCTCAGATAAACAAAAACATAGTGCCCTGGATTTGGAGTAACGGGGAGTGGGATTCCTGGCTGATTTACCCCTGCTGGAGACGGATATGAGCCAGCTTCTACCCCACAACTTAGTAAAGACAGAAACTGGTTCATGTCCACCCGGGATAGTGTGTTTACCAAATAAACTCGGGGAAGCTTTCATTACGTATCCCAAACAAAGCATTCATCTCAAATGATTCTTACTTGCAGATGAATTTGAGACCTTTCTTCGAATGGGCTGCTGCAATGCTGCTGCCTGCAATAGAAAGGAGCATTATTTGAAAAAACTGTTGGGAAAAACATTGTTCTTTAACACTAAGATGATGGATCGTTCCTTTGTGGCAAATTTTGCACAAAATAATAGATTTTGTCTGCAACACAATTTTCAAAGGTTAAGATAAGATCAAAAATGTCTCTATTTAAAATCAAGTCAGGTTGTGGATAAAGAAGGCCATTCGGCCCATTTAGGAATATTGGAATGCAGAAACAAAAAGTAGGCATTCAGTCTGTCAAATCTCTTAGACCAGTTTATTAGATTTTGGCAAATCTTTTAATCCTAATGTCCCATCCTTTCACCATATCCTAAATATATTTAGTACCTTAAACATCCCTATTAATTCCGGCTCTATGTTTGAACTCATCCTTCTGGCATACTAATCCTACCTTCTTCCCATCACAGGACAGAGAAAATTTCCTCAACGAGTCAAGTGTCTTAATCTCAACCACCCTTGCTTGTAACCTCTTCCATCTACTGATGCTGCTGTGTAAAGAATTATTTTCTCCTACCCTTCCTTTGGAAACTGTTCAGCATGAGATCTTGACATAGGAATTTGCTGTGAAATTATACTGACCATTATTTTTAAGTACATAATAAGATTGAACAATTTGTCTGTTTTGAATACAGTACAGACTTGTACTGTTTAGCAATGTACCAACTTAACAACGTCCTTAGAGAAGGGAGGTTTCCAACAATCTCCCAAATAAAATTGGTCATTCACTTAATGGCTGTTTGTGAGTCATTACTGTGTGCAATATGGCTGCCGTGTTCGCCCACAAAATACACAGTCACTTCATTTTGCAGTGTATTGTTTGAAGAACTTTGCCATGTCCTTCTGACAAGAAAGATGCTTCGCCAAATGATGATTATTATAACTGTATTGATTTATGAGAAGTAAAGATAACAAAGTTGGCAGATAGCCTCTTAACGTCATAACACATAAAGGTGAAGTTTGCCAGCACCCCCTAAATTACAATTACCACCAGAGGTACAGATTCATAAAAAATACACTACAGAAGGAGGTCATTTAGCCCTTCAAGCCTCTGTTTGGAAGCTTGCTTGGAGATGAAGTCCAAAGTTCTACTATTAGTCTGCAAGAGCATTGTGTCCTAAAAGTTTAAGAATATGCAGGGTTGTAGACAATTCTTAAATTCAGTTTTCATTTGGAAGCTAGTTTGTTTTAAGAACTGTGGAAAATTGGCTTCCAATTGAAGACTGAATTTAGGAATTTTCCATAACTTTCCACAATCTTAAATTTGAACACAAATGCTAATATTAGAAAATTGATGGCCTATAGACCGTAATCCTAATTCCTTGATTTTTTCCTAGAAGTGTCTTTATAACTTTTCTACAAATACTTAAACAATTCCCATTCAAATGTTCTTTTGATCTTTACTTCATAAGCCACTTTTGACACAGCATTCCATGTTCTGAGGTGGTCTAGGAATGAAAGTTTAACTGTTCCAGCATCACTGACGTTGGTTAGATCTTTCCGTATGTGAATGGTGTAAAGGAATCACTTACCAACTGAGGAAAGTTAATTGGCCAGATACATTTCAACAAACAGACCAACCTTCAAAACAGAAACATTAATATGCCAACATGTCATGAGAATGTCAAACACTTGGACAAAATCATTGGTGAAGGATCAGAGGATACTGAATAATCTCTTTGATCTCAGTGGGTTGTTGGACTCCAGGTTAATGTGTTGTCCACAGGGAACTGCTTTGCAGCCGATCATAATAGTGCTGCTAGTGGTGCACAGCATCTCACAGACCCATGGAGTAAGCTACTTAGGTAAGGTTTAAAGAAATGATTTGCAGATCCCAGGGATGGACTGCAGCCATGTATTGGCACAGGGTTGTTGGAGATCAGTGTATTAAATAATGGGTTTAGATATCTGGATGAGTCATGAGCAATTACAAACTATGCTAGACCATATTTGGGACATTAAAGGGCAAGATGCTAGCACATCCACTACCACTGTAGCTTTATCTTTAATATGCAGACACCTACAGATATAAGCTTTGGGTAAATCCACCACTCAGTAACAGCAATGATGTATATGCACACATTCACATGAACTCACACACAGACCTGTCCATCTTGTTTCCTTTTGGGCTTCTCCTCAGATGAAACACTCACTCCGGCAGCTCTCAGAGCTGCAATTCGGTTTTCAATGTCAGACACCTGGAGCACAAAACCGTAGTGATGTTTCAAAGAACAAATGAACTAACTTTAAAGATCACTGTAACTGCCTTGGATTACTGACTATGTCATGTCACATTGCCCCCTCCCACTCCCAGGATTTGTTTTACATATTATCTATTTATAACCCCTAAAATGAACTAATGCAATAGGATTCAAACTCACAATCTTCCAGTGATCCTGAGATGTTAAGACAAGTACACAGACAGACCTTAAGAAACAGTAACACTTCCGCCAATACCCCATACCTGGTAGGAGCACTTTTTCAGTATGCAACAATGCTACTTATTGTCGGGCAGAAGAGGGGAACATTGAAGGTTGGAACCCTGACAGAGCCTCAATTGTTCACAATTTTTGAACTAAAAATTCCAATAAGCTGCAAATTTGAAAAACTGCAAATTGGAAAAACAAAAAGAACTGTTGGATGACATGTCCATCCACGCCTGAATAAGGTTCATGATACAGATAGGACCGAAGTATGAATTGAAAGAGGCCCGACAGGATGGAGGAGAGGAAGTCAACATAAAGACAGTAGGAAGATGTTCTAATGATTTCTAAGACAATGTACCTCGCTCTCTGTGTGCTGAACCTGTGCGGCCGCTGATGCCACCTTGTCTTCCAGTTCCGAGAGCTCAGAGTCGGTGGTACTCGTAGTGTGGCTTTCTCTGCTTCGTGCACGTTCCTCCAGCTCCTGGAGCTGTCGTTCCAGGTTGTAATTTGTGCCGGCTGCCATATAAACCTATAGGAACACGAGACTCGGTTTCACTGAGGGCTTCTGTCTCTTATGATGTCCACTTACAGCAACAGTAACAGTAGGCCAGCTTGGCTGATGGACCCAAAAGGGCCTGCTTTCTAAAGGCAGTTTAAGGACAGATGGCTGGGAAGCTTTGTGCTTCAGGAGATTTAGACTTTTACAGTACATAGTTTCTTTCCATTTTACTTTTTTTTGGATCTTCACCGATTTTCTACTTCCCTCCTCCTCCTCTCCTGAAGGAACTCCCTTTTCTTTTGACAGGTGTACTGTCCGCATGTGCCTTTCCTGGTCTAAAGTGGCAGGACAGTCCACCATCCCTGAGTTCTGAGTTTATGGGGGGAAGTTCAGAAGTGTATTGTGCAAAACATGAATGTAATTAACATATTTTTGGAGTTTGGAGACATGGTCCAAGCTTTTGGCTGCAGTGGGCTGGATTCCCTACTTGAGAAAGGACAGCGGGCTGCATAAGCAATATTTTGGTTCCTTTCTGGAAACAAAACAACATTTACACAGTACCTTTTTCATGTTACAAGGATATCTCAAAACCTCAACACTGCCGGTTGAGCACCTCAGCTGGGGGTGAGAACCGAGGGAGGTGGGATGGGGAGGGGCAAAGATGACCGAAAGAGCGGTCAAAGAGTTAGGGCTTGCTGTGAAAGAGGGGAGGGAGGAAGTCGGAGGGACTCCAGGAATGGAATTCCAGAAAGCGGGGCAGATGGGCTGGGGGATATGAAGCAAGCTGGTGTTTGCTGTGAATGGCTGGGTCTGGAAGTCGCAGATGTAGGGTGGGGAGGGGGGTGGGGGGCTGGAGTGGAATGAAGGACATAGGAAAGAGGGAGCTTTCTTTGAGGAAACTGCACGGAACTTCACTCGGTGTCTGTTCTCGGTTCCCCCACTGCGGCGGCCGAGAGAAGTTCTGGTTGTCTGTCCTGACAGTGAACCACAAAACACTGCCCACAATTCTCCCTCTCTCTGCTCTCTCACTCTTTGTTCTCTCTCACTTTCTTCCTCATGTTCTCTCTCTCCCCCCCTCAGTCACTCTCAGTCTCCCCCTTTGTCAATCACCCTCTCAATCTCCTCCTCTTTCTCATCTCTGACTCACTCTCTCCCCCCTCTCACACCCTCTCTCAATTTCTCTCTCTGCTCTCTCCCTCTCTCAAGCACTCTTTCTCTCCCCCTCAAACACTCTCCATTGCCCCTCTCTATCATTCACCCTCTCTCAATTTCTCCTCTCTCCCATATCTCACTCACATTCACACTCTCTCCCCCCTCTAACATTCTCTACTCTCTCCCTCTCTCAATCACTCTTTCCCTGCCCCTCTGTCAATCACCCTCTCTCAATCTTCCCCCCTCTCTCCCTCATCTCTCACTTTCACACAAACACACTCCCTCTCTCACACCTCTTACACTCCCTCTCACACTCTCTCTGGCTCTCTCGGTCTCTACTCTCTCCCTCTCTCAATCACTCCCTCCCCCCCCACCCCTTCTCAATCACTCCCCCCTCCCCCCTTCTCAATCACTCCCTCCCCCACTCCTTCTCATTCACTCCCTCCCCCACCACCCCCTTCTCAATCACTCTCTCTTTCCCCCTTTCTGTCAATCATTCTCTCTCCCTGTCTCACATAGTCTCTCTCTCACTCCCCCTTTCTTTCTCTCTCTCACACACACATTCTCTCCTATCTCTCTCCTCCCTTCTCTCTCCTCCTCACCCCCCTCAATCTCTCTGTCTCCCTATCAGCCATGTGGTTCACTATCTGCAGTGACAAGAGCCGGCGGTTGCTAAGGACGCGGTTGCCTTCCTGACAGACTGCAGCAACTGTTGGTGTTATTTCTATTCTCCGCACGGCGTCTTCCAACCCTTCGGCTCCTGCCGCCGCCCCGGGGAGAGGTCCAACAGGGAGGGACGGAGTGCAAGTTGCAATGTTGGAAATGGTCTCGGGCCGGAGGGGCTGGATCAGCCCTTCATAACCCACAACCCCACAACCCCCCCCCAGATACCAACACTCTTACTGCCACCATTCACTTTAATTCCATCTGTGGATTTGATCCAATCTCCCGTATCATTCATTTCTATCAGAATCACAAGGATGTGACCAGGATAGGGGACCTTGGCTGATTTTTCTTGTGCGTTTTTAGCCATTTAATAGCTTCTTCATAACACATTATGTCAGAGGGGGCTCCCAGTCCTGACCTTCCCTCACTCTTTATGGGACAGGTTAGAATTCCGCATGCACAGGAGACTTGCCATAGGAATGAATGCTGAAGTGCTCTTACATTTTCCTCAAGTTTTCTGTATGCTTCATCAGTATCTTTAGCCTCACTCGCACTTGGACCTTTCTCCCCAAGTATAAGGTGTGAGCTGCGGTTTGAGGAAGCTTCATAACGCAGCCCATCTGCTCCAGCAAGGTCACACAGCGCTTTCTCGGTTACGTTAATGGTCCTTAAAGCTTCCGTGGTGATGTCGCAAAGAGCCACTGCGGAGGAGCGCTGTGAATGCCATGCACACACACACAGCCAGAGTTAGCAAGATGCACACTGAGAGAGAGGTAACAAAAAGCCAGTGAGTTGAACGACTCTTGAATTTAAACGGCTGCATTAGCCATTAGTCAGTAGTAAGAGTGGAGTCTCTCAGTGGCCTTCGTATTAATGAACACTTTCACAGCAGAATTAAGTCTTGCTATTAGTCTGGTGGGGTCAGTAAGACTCAGCGTTGATGTGATTTATTTAGGTTGTGCGTGTTTTCCGAGGCCCTACTCTCACTTTTAGTTAGGCTCAAAGTGAGTCTAAATAACTCCACTACATCAGTCCCGACCGAGTACATGGCACCTTTGGCGACTTCAACCTGCACTTCACCCACTCTTGCTCTATATGTACTGACTTCTCTCTCATCTCCTCTCGCAACCTCTCCCTCCACTCTGCCACCCACGTCCACAGCCATCCGCTTGACTTAGTGATTACCCGGAGCCTCTTCCCTCCACAAGCTGCAGATTATCCAGAACTCTGCAACTGGTGTCCTCTCCTGCACCAGGCTCCATGAGCCATCACCCTTGCACAGCTCCACAGGCTCCCTATCCTTCAGAGGATAGAGTTCAAAATCCTCATCCTTGCCTTCAAGGCCCTCCTCGGTCTTACCCCTTTGTACCTCGGAGACCTGCTAACCCCTTATCAACGTGTCCGCTCCCTCCACTCAGCAGGCTCCGGCCTGCTCCACGTCCCCTGCCCGGCCTGCCCCACCACTGGGTGTCGGGCCTTCAGCCTCTCTGCCTCAACCCTTTGGAACGTCAACCTACATTCTCTTTGCCTCGCTCCCTCCCTTACCTCCTTCAAGGCATGTCTCAAGACCCTTCTCTTCAACCATGCCTTCAGCCATCCTCCTACCCTCCCTTACCCAACAACCCCCACCCACTTAGATCCAAATCGCTGACTGTAGCACCTTGGGACGTCCTCTCGACTTGAAAAGTGCTATACAAATGTAATTTTGTATTGTATTGCATCCATATTATCCTCTGCTTTCACAATCAATATGCTTATATAGACTGAGGGCTACATGCAGGAGTTGAATCAAGGTTCAGGTAAAGTAATAAACACCTTCCTAGAGGGTAGAATAAATATGTTGTATTTCCCCGTTCTTCCTCCTCTCCTCATCCTCACCATGTTGAAATTCAAAATCCTACTGTCCCAAAATCAAATTCATTCTCTCTTAGGACTCAAGACTGTAGAGATCCTTTCCATCTCTTGGTTGCTCCTGTCTCTTACATTCTACAAGTTGAATTCCATGCCACCTTAGTGAGATTCAAACCAAGTTAGTCCTACTAGATTTCTCAATAAAATGATCACCTTAAATTCCTGCCTGTTGTTCAGATTTTATAACTGACCAATTCCTTTAGCTTTACCATTTGCAGCTTACATGATTGAGTTTCAGCCAGTTTACATTGCTTGTTACTGCTCCTAACCATCACCATTACAGTAATCAAGGTTTCACATGCGACTTGGTGAGCAGGAGGGGAATCTTACAGTATGGAGGACGTTTACTCAGGAATGCTAGGATTACCCTATGTTGTAGTTGTTGTGGGATTTCAAGATGGCTCAATTGTCATGGGAGCTTCACTGTGTATCTAACTTGTGCTGTTAGCATGCAGTGAGTGGTATAGCTGATTTGAGATCACTTGATATTGACACTGGGTGTAAAGGTAAATCATTTTCCAAATTGGGCATTCTTATATTCACCAATGACAATTTAATAACCCCGTTCCCCACTGAAAAAACAATTTGTGTTAAAGAATGATTACACATCTGGATTACTGAGTGATGTTATTCCTAAACGTGAAGTATTCTTGCCCATTTTTATATTTGACAAATCACCATTCTTATGGTCCTGGAGGTTGCCCAAGTGACCGGCCAAATGGTGCACCGAACTAGACCACCAGGAAGTGTTGAAGAGTGAATCCTCTTCTTGCTGGAAAGTGCTTCTTCCCCTCCCCAATGGTTGAGCTTGGCCAATTATTATAAAGAGGTCAGTAGATCCCTATCTAACTGGACTACTTGGCACAGTTATACAAAGTACTGTGCTAACTGCAAGACCCTTTCTGCTCCACCACCGTATGGCAACACTCTTTCTGCTACCTTTCATTTTAATTCCAGCTTTGACTTTGATAGACTGATACATTTGTTCACTCTTCCCATGGTGTACACAGTTTGTTTTTCTCTCCTAGTTGAGCTCCCCCTCCCTCTTTTGCTTGGATGGCTGCTTTCAATGAATAAGCCTTTTATTTCCTCTTTGCATTCAGCTTTGTGAAGCCACTTAGCAATGAAAGCTTCAGGGAGGAACAAAATCTAGCACCATTAGATGAGATGCTGCTCATTTACGACGACCACCTTTCCTGATCTCTTCGAGCAATATCACTATCAGAATAGGGATCAGTAAAGGTTGTGCATCAACAAACCCTTGCTTTAATAAGCAAACAAAGGGAGCAGACATACAGATTCATTCAGCGAGATGCTCGTTCCCTAATGCTGTACTTTATCATCAAATATGCTTAAGAGTATAGGAGCCAAAAGAGGCATTAGGAAACAAAATAACCTAGGCATTTCACATCAGTGGGCTAAAGAGACAACTTTCCTTTGTTCTCTTAGAAATGGACTAATGGAGCATCAGAAAAGCTTGGCTTCAATAAGCGTGGGCAACACGGAGTAGCAACATCAGAGAGCAACCAAGAGCTGGACATTTTAATCAACCTCAGCATATTGCTTCACTATCCACTTAATGAAAGTTCTTAATCCAAACTTAAGTTGTTACATTCTAAAATGCATCTTACTTCCCCCATTATACATCTGTAGCACTCTCATCTCTGATTCCAAAGGTTGTGGGTTCTACATCATTCCGATTTTGAGTTTGAGATTGAGGCTAACACTGGATTGAAGTACTGGATTGTCGGAGATGCTGTCTTTGAATAAGATATTAAACCAGGGCCCCATCTGCCTGTTCAGGTGGTGTCTCACATCCCACGCAATATTCAAAAAGAGAAGGGAGTTTCTTCTGCTGTCCTGGCCAACAATCCCCCAGATAAAATTATCATTCACTTCATGCTGTTTGTGGGACATGGCAGTGAAACGATTTAAGATGTTTTGGCAACATGATAAGGTGGTATAGCAAATGCAAAGATTATTATTGATCACCAGTTTCTTATCTCTTTAACCTTAATTCTTGTTCTCATCGAGGTGCAGTTAATGCACACAGTGTTAAGTATTCAGCTGGTTCTCTGGTCCACGTATTCTATTGGAAAAATATATTTTATTCTAATCGCTATGTCTCAGTTTAGGGTAATTGATTGTCTTACCCTGTGGTGCTGCCCTCACAGGCAGTCTCTGTGCATCTACGTCATCTATGGATCTTGTCAGTTTTAAGGCCTGAATCCTATTCCCTTCAATATCTTTTTCTAGGGACTTGGTAGGTGATGAATCGTTTAAAAAAAACTTTATCTAATTAATCTGGTATAGATATTGAAGAACTAAAAGCACCAGTTTTCATATTTCTAGAGACTGAACCAAACCTATGATTTTGGAAAGTTATTGAGTTATTTCAATGACATCCTTTGGTCACAGGTCCAGATAGAGTGAAGGACCTGAAACCAATTGAGCAAAAACACTATATTCAACATGTCACATATAACAGATGGTCAACCTGAAACTACTGTGTTGCAAGTAAAACAGACAATGTTTCTTCCCCTCAAAGCTCCAAAATACCTTTACTGCATCATTCTGGATTTCTTCACTGGAGGAACTCAATTCTTGTTGTCTTTCTATTTTCCTCCTTCCATTCTCCTCTTCGGATGAGAGGCCTTTGTCACTGATGTTGTTAGCTAACTCGCCCAATTTTTTCTTCAGCTTTTCTTCTTCTATGTCTGCATCTGTTAAGACGCCTGATGCCTCAGAGCCAACTGGAGATACCGATGTATGCCTGCCCTTGAGATTTGGTGACTGCAAAACAATAAAGATCTACCGTTAATCCTTTCAGTAATGATTTGGTTTGAAAGGAGCAGAGGTGGTGGTTAATGGAATGGGGTATTAGCAGAAAGGTAGGGAGGTGCCAGGGCAAGAAAATATTTGCAAACGAGTGTGAGGATCTGAAAGGAGGTCTGAAAGGATTTTGATTTCAGAGGAGCCACATCATGGTTTGGTCTTCACTTGAAGATATTTATATGATTTTAGAAGGACTGTAACTGGGATTTATATTATAAGTGCACCTGGCCAAGATTGGTTACTTTACTCATCTGTCCCATAGTTTCACCTAGCCTGTGCGATTGTTTTGTTTTACAATTTACGAATGGTGCAGAATTGTCGGATATTCTTAAATTCAATCTTATTTGGGAAGCCAGTTTCTCTCAGTTCTTTGAAAAGAAACTGGCTTCCAAATTAAGACTGAATTTAATAATATTTCTCAATTCTGTGCCATCTTCAATGTTAAAGCAAAATAATCTTACAGACTCATGGAGTCCTAGAGTGTATTGTTTAGAGCACTCAGCTCGCAAGCTAGAGGACCTGGGTTTGTTCTCAGGCAGGGCAAAATGTTAGGCAAGTTTCCTTACTCCACACATCTCTGTTTACATAGAAATAAATAGGAACACAGTTGTTATTTGATTGGCGCATCATTTTCTGGGGGTAATAATCCCTTCAAAAAAAAAGAATAATTTGGTCACTCAATCCACGAATGTCTGTGGGACACTGTTGTGCGCAATTAGCTGCTGCGGTTCACCTACAAAATATACAGTCAATTCAGTTTACGGTATATGTACTTTATTTGCACAGCATCTTTAGGGGGATTGACTCTTCATCAGAACCCATGGAGTGATAATACCCATGCTTATGTTTTTAATACACTGAATTACTGCTATCCGGGAATGACAAAGGCAACCCAAAATAATACTTTGAGACAGATCAAAATAATGTTCTCAAAAGGTTCTCTGGCTACATAACCAGAGGGGAGATAAAGAAATATTTTTACACAGAGTTTTGTTATGGTCTGGAATGCACTGCTGAAAGGGTGGTGAAACCAGATTCAATAATAACTTTCTAAAGGGATTTGGATAGGTACTTGAATAGGAAAAAATTGCGAGTATATGGGGAAAGAGCAGGGGTGTGGGACTGACTGGGCAGCTCTTCCAAAGAGCTGGCACAGGCATGATGGGCCGAATGTTTCTGTGCTGTAATATTCTATAATTCTATGACTCTATATTCTGCAAAGTGCTTTGAGATGCTTGAAGATGTGATAAGGTGCTAATAGAAATGCAAGGATTATTATTATTAAAATGTACATTGGGAATTGGAGATTACTATGAACTCCCCACTCCCTTTAGTGACTGCAAAAATTTCAGTTGCTTTAAGCCCTTGTTGGATGTCAGACGTTTGTCATCAGAAGTTCAGTGTTTTGCTCCTAAAGCTCAAAAAATAAAACTTGAGGATTGCATTAGCAGTGCGTACTGATGTGAGCACCATTACACAAACAACCTCTTCCGAAACTGTAATAATGAATTAGATAAAAGTACCTATTTAGATCAGCAAATGGCACAGTGAGAAAATCAAGGCAGACAAACACTTGTCCATAAAGGGTACTGTACTCAGTCATGCATATTTGTGTGAAAGCCCAAAGTGAAGTATCTCGCTTTCTAAAAGAACAGAGCTTCCGAATTACATCAACAAAACCTACCTTTATCTGAATATCTATTTCAATAAGTTTTGAGGTTCTGCATATTACAAATTGTTGCAAAAGAGAAATACATCACCCATCAAGAATGGCCTCAGTGAAGAAGCACATTTATCAGATACTTTTTTTCACAGAATTTTTTCTGCACAGAAGTTCTGTACTTTAAATCTGTCCTCGCAATACAAACAGCACAGAGCAGTGTGGTTGTCAGAACCCCTCAAAAACAGCATCATTTCCATTCGAGACATTTATAGCCTGAATTCAACCTAGTTTAGATTGTTTTAGCAATGCGTCTTAAGATGTACGATTATGCAGAATAATGGAAAATTCTTAAATTCAGTCAATCTAAAAGCTGGATTTCTGCTGTTTAAAAGCACCACCTTCCAAATTAAGATTGAATTTAACAATTTTTGCATTTTTTTGTTGCATTATGGGACGTCCTCCTGAGGTGAAAGGTAATTTTGTTGTTGTTGTGTTCTGTGTAAATTTTGAGACATACTGTTCCATGAGGAATATTGACTACCTGATTCTTAAAGAACTACTGGAGAGAAATTCCAACTGGGTCTCGAATTATTCACTTACAAAATGCATCATCACTACACTTTACAGTAAATCTGTGAAGCTCTTTGAAACATCCTCCTGATGTGAAAGGATGATGATTATTATTATTACTCTATTTATGTAGTATTTTGACCAATTGTTGAATTCAGACTTAACTTTGAAATCGGTTTCACGTAGCTTCTAAAAAACTTACAGAAAACCCGCTCCAAAATTAAAGCTTTATTTCGGAGTTTGTAAAATTCTCGATGTTCTCTGCTTTATACAAAAAGGACATCTAGACCTAGGCATAATTTCTCTCTTCGCTCTGTGTGCTTACTTATCACAACACCAATGTACAACATCATGTAAAACGTTAAACCTATGGCTTTGATTCACTCCAATGGAGTCTCTGGTTATTGAGGTCCTTTGCAGCTTTTACAGAGTTTTGTAAAGAACTAAAACATGATCCCTACCTCTGCAGAATGAGGAGTCATCTCCTCCAATCTACTCAGCATTTTCTCTATAGAAGACATTCGCTTGGTCAGGTCTGAAATCTGCAGGCAAGGAAAGGTTTAAACCACCACCAAAAGACCAAAAGATCACCCCCACTCCCAAAAGAGATTGCATCAGAATCTCAATCATTCCTAGGATCTGGTCCTTCTTGCACAGCTGCCCTTGGGACCATTCCTATACAAAAAGAACGACCACCAGAGGATATTGCATGCAGAGCAGCATTAAAACAGGAGGAAAGCAACAGATTCATTAACATTGATTTGCAGAGGTGAACTGCATTGAAATTTAGCAACAAAGGAATATAAAGAAAGAGATTGGCATTAAGTCTGCAATGTTACTCTTTCAAAAATTTGTGTCAAAATGTAATTATGTTATCAACTTTCAAACAGTTTTCTGTTATATCCTTTCAGTAACAGAGAATATCCTTCTCCACTGAAGTATAGCAATAAAAGATGCTTTGTGTTAATTTAAACCCTGCACAAAATCGTGCTTGGTAACTATTCCCAGCCAGATCTCTCAGTGAAGTCACTCATTCAGAGTTTGAAATCATAATATTCAGAAAAATAAAGAGAAAATGAAAAAGAATTGTGGCCACATAAAATCTCATGAATTACTGGCGAGGCTGCTCACACATGGATGTCAGACTTGGAGGTCAAACCTGCCAATATTCATGACCCCAAATTCCACTGACTTTTGTCTCAAAATTTAAAGATTGCATTGAAAAGTAGAAAATGCTTGAAATTCAGTCTTAATCGGAAAGATATTTTCTGTGGATATTTAAAAAAAAATCAAATTGCAAATTGAGAATGATTTTAAGAAAATCATTTCTTAAATTTCAAGACAAAATGGTCTGAACAATATTATGGGCCTTCAGAGATTGCTCATACAGGAAGAATGGGCATTGAACACTGGTTGGGATCCATTCACTAGTGCAGTAGTGGCTAACCCATGGCCAGTGGGTCGGAAGTGGCCTACGGGGCCATAAAGAAGTGCCAACCCACTCAAACATTCGCACAGTCTAGATAAGTCTGTGTTCAATTAATCAATAAGTTTTCATAAATCAAGAAATATTCAATCAAGAAAAAATATTTTGTTGGCCGCCCACGAAGATTGGCCACTACTGCACTCATGTTTCCAACTTGTTGTGGAGAGGTGGAAATGGGGGTACAGATTACTTTTGGTACTCTTATTCTGCGTATTCTGGTTCTATATAGTAATGATTAACAGGGTGGATCTTTTGGAGCTTTGGAGAGTTACCTGACTGCCTGAGTTCTCCTGGGAACCACTCCTGTTCCTGTGCCGTATGAAATGGCGTTGATAGACAGGATACTCAGGAGCTAGCTCATCCTCGGAGCTCTCCATATCAGCGTAGTACTGGGCACTGTGTTTCTCCTGTGGAAGCAAGCGGTGCAGATCCGTGTCTCCTGACAAGTTCCATACTCTGGGGACAGAGCGCGTGCGGGGAAGCCTGTGCTCACGATGGAAGATCTCCTCTGGTGTCAATAGATGGAATGGGAGGGGAGGTGGAGAATGAGAAACAGGGTAGATGTTATTATAGATTTAGCATCCACACTGCAATTTAACACGAGTCTGCAGAGGCAATGCCAGAAGCAGAAAGAACAAGGTTTCAATGCAAGAAAATGCCCATGGGTGATGGAGCCTAGCTGTTTTGTACAGGTGGCACTAACATGGTAAGGCCAGGTCTTGCATATACACACCACACATAGGATACCTCCAGACAAAGCTGGATCCTCATGCAAAGCTAAACATTTCTATGCATTTTAATTGAACGTTTGAGAAGTAACAGTGTATAACCTATTTATGGGGAGGGGAGAAGGGGACAGCATCACACTGTTGTAGGAGTCAATGTACAGATCACATGGCATATTCAAAGCTTCTTCATGAGTCAAATGTATGGGTTTCAACTTGGGAATTATCAAGTTTGAAGGCATCATTGAATATATTTTGTGAAAGGACATGACGCTTGTGTGTTATCCATTAGAATACATTAGAATATCAGCACAGAAAAAGGCATCTGGCCCAACTGGTCTATGCCAGTGTTTATGCTCCAAATGAGCCTCCTCCTGCCCTTCCTCAACTAAGCCGGCAAGCATATTCCTTCTATTCCTTTCTCCCTCATGTAACTATCTAGCTTTCCTTTAAATACATCTATTCTATTTGCCTCAATAACTCCTTGTAGCAGCATGTTCCACATTCCCACTACTCTCTGAGTGAGGAAATTTCTTCTCACGTCCCTATCTGATCTATTTGTGACTATTTTATACCCTTGGCCCCTGGTTTGGGTCTCCCCCACAAGTGGAAACATCTTCCCTATGTCGACCCTATCAAAATCTTTCATCATTTTAGAGACCTCTATCAGGTCAACCCTTACCCTCCTCTTTTCAGGAGAAGAGTCCAAGCATGTTCAGCCTTTCCTGATAGGTATAACCTCTCAGTTCTGGGATCAACCTGCGTTACTACTTTTAGTGAATTATGTATGTGTATCCCTAGATCCCTTTGCTCCTCTACCCCATTTAGGTTTTTATTTTCCAGTATGTATGTGACTTCCTTATTCCTTCTACCAAAATGTACCACCTCACACTTTTCTACATTGAAATGCATTTGCTATTTAAATGCCCATGCAGCAAGTTTATTGATGTCTTGTTGTAATTTGTTGCAGTCCTCCTCTGTATTAACTACTCCCCCCAATTTGGTGTCATCTGCAAATTTTGAAATTGTACTGCTGATTTCCGAGTCTAAATCATTAATGTATATTGTGAACAACGGTGGTCCGAAGACCGATCCTTGTGGAACACCACTGCCCACTCCCTGCCAGTCTGAGTAGCTACTCTTTACCCCTACTCTCTGTTTCCTGTTTTGCAGACAGCTTGCTATACATTCTGCTATTTTCCCCCTGACTCCACATGCTCTGACCTTATTCATTAGTCTATTATGTGGCACCTTATTGAATGCCTTTTGGAAATCTAAATATATTACATCTACCACATTACCCTTGTCTACTCTTTCTGTTACATCTTCAAATAATTCAATGAGATTGGTCAAGCATGACCTTCCTTTTTGAAATCCATGTTGACTTTTTTTATTATGTTTTCTATTTCTAGTTGTTTTTCTATTACCTCCTTCAGTAAGGATTCCATTATCTTCCCTACCACCGATGGTAAGCTGACAGGTCTATAGTTCCCTGGAATTGTTCTATCTCCTTTTTTAAATATAGGTATAACATTAGCTATCCTCCAGTCCTCTGGCACTACTCCCTTTTCTAATGAGTTATATATTTGTAATAATGCCTCTGCTATCTCTTCCCTCGATTCTTTGAATAGGAATAAGAACACATCATAAACGTTCCCTCCCAATGCACTTGCTCTCCCCAATTTACTTCCCCATCACAACACAGTTGTTTTTCTCCCCAATGCATTTCCCCTTCCTGTAGAAAATTGATGTCCTAATTTAACAGAACAGACCGCTCTTGGTCCTGTCCAAGCTCTTCCTCCTGGCATTGACTTCCATTCGGATTTCAGTGCTGAACTGCTGCTCCGGCATTGCAATGCTGTGTCCTTTCTCCTGGATGATGTCTCGGAATACCGAGGCCAGGTCTGCCTCAGCAAACAGTGATCCTCTCCTGGAGCCTCCATCCGTGGGGCCACTGCCGGTAAAGGAAAATTCTGAATAGGATTCCTGGAAGTACAATATGAGAAGTAACCATCGTTGCTGAAAAGAATGACAGGGCTTTTTTTTTGGTCAGCTGGGTATTTGACACATGCAAAACCCATCACCTTGCTTAGTGTATCCAAACCAAACTGAGAATTCCATGCATCCCACCTACACATATAGTTATACATGCAACAAGGTAGTCACAGAGGAAATCACACACTGTTCCAGTGATACATCTGTACTAATATATTCTGCAACAAAGTAGCGACAGAAAAATTATACTTTATATTAGATTATACTTTATATAATAGATCATCCCCCCACACCCATGGATTTCTCTGTCGCTACTTTGTTGCAGAATATATTAGTACAGATGTATCTCTCTAGAACAGTGTGTGATTCCCTGTGTTGCTACTTTGTTACATGCATACCTCATATTTTGGAGCTTAACTAAAGCATTTTCATCAAGGATAGGAGAGCCCTGGAAAAAAATATGCCCATGACACTCGCGCTTCCAAGTCCTTCCCGATGAGGTATAAATCATGTCTCTACATGAATCGGTTATTGCGATGTTGGCTGATACACACACACAAACATTGTCGTTTTATTAGTATAGATAATAATATAAAGTAATACAATATAAACTTCTGTATAATATACAATAATAATATAAAGGAATAACATAAAATGTAAAAATAATATGAAGTATTCTATAAAGTATAATAACAATATAAAGTATACTAATACTGAAAGCTCCATTCCATACTGGATCCTTTGGTTGCAAGCGTAGCTGCAACAGGTAAAGCTAGTGTTCATATATAATAATAATAATCCTTGCATTTGATATAGTACTTATCATATCTTTGAGACATATCAAAGCGCTTCACAGCATATACTGTAAAGTGTAGTGGCTGTGTGTTTTGTGGGCGAAACATTGTGAGGTTTAATTCACAAAAAGCTGAGCGAATTTGGTTTCAGAAAGCTGTCAAAATGTGGCAAAAACTAGAGAGTAGAGTTGGAAATGCCAAACCCATCTTCTGGACTAGGAGGTTATTTATACTTCAGTAGCTTTCAAAAATCATTGACCCTAATCTGATCTCTCTGGCCAACCCATGAGGTTGAAATGCGCCTTCAGCAAATACAGGTAAACTTTTATGAATCGTATCAATTGAATTAAAACAACATAACACAAAGTTATTGGATAAGTTTGTCTTTTGTGACGACAATTAGTATTTTCAGAGCCAGCACTTCTTTTGATAAGAAACCAATTCATATTTCTACATTATGACACAGATGTCCACTTGATATTCTTAAGCAAGGAATAAGTACAGTACCTCGACCTGGCTTTGGGCCCTTACAATGTAAAGCTCTCATCCTCCAACACAAAATAACACCACGATGATGGGTCAAAACCTTGCTTCCCGTGCTTTAGTGTTTCAAACATAGCAACAGTGTGGAACTTCATCAACTGGTAAGTGCATTAATGTGTTACGAGTTAGGAGATGATTTGCATTAGCATTTAGGATTATTTGGGACCAAGAAACCATTACAACTTAGCTGTTTATTTGACTTTCAAAATACGACTAACATAAAGAAATCTAAGTGTATTTTAGTAGGAAAATGAAAGGGATTCAGGTGCATGTATAATTTAGGCGATTATGCAAATTATAATGAGGTAACTTATGCAAATTTACGTGAATAGCAAATTAGACGTGGATCGGCTTTGCTGTGATAATTCCGCCTCAGCTCACACTCAACACATGAAGAATGGTCACTTTTCCTATTGAACTGTAGCTCTGTCCAATGGTGAATATTATTATTATATTTCTCACCCTCCCTAGCCCAGGGCTTCCCCATGAGCTAAGGGACTAGGAATTGAACCAGACTTGCCTGATCTCTCAATGGGTTGACACCAGTTAATGCAGTGTTGAGTAATTGGTGAATGCCAAGCTAGATGAAGCAGAGCTCCATTGTACTTTGTGACCAAGTATTGATTATCCTTCTTTGTGGGAGTAAGCGGGGTCTCCTTGGAGCTGAACTGGCTCCAAGGTGACATGTCTTGCAACAGAATGTTGGAATCAAACTAGCTCTCTGTAGCCGTCTTGGTAGAATGGTTCCTGAACTAGACAAGTTTGTATTATTCCACTGCACTGCTGATGACAACACAGACAACGTGGCTCATCTGCAGGACCTGGAAGGGCAGACCAGTCATTGGGGGGGCAGGGAGTCATCCCACTCAGCTCCTGTTAACCCTGCAAGCCAAAGCCTTAATGGGCAGGGTGATCCTAACTGGACAAGGAGTGGGAAAGCTTCCCAGACAGCAATATCATAGAATCATAAAATACTACAACACAGAAAGAGGCCATTCAGCCCAATGTGCCTGTGCCGGCTCTTTGGAAGAGCTACCCAATCAGTCCCACACCCCTGTTCTTTCTCCAGACACCTGCAAATTTATCAATGGCAAGTTATATGGTTTTAGCTGATTAGACTTGAGCAGCATCCCAATTCACACTCTGGAGTCACCAAGCCTGGGTCTTTGCCAACCTGCACCCAATACTTTCTGGAATTGAGTAAGCAGGATGTGTCCCTCCAGGGTGAGAGTGTGCATTCCATTCCAACAATCTACCTCTGGGATTTCCATGTGTAGATGGGATGTTTGGAATTCTCAACTTGGTTTGGATACGCTTAAGCATAATGATGGCTTTCTGCATGTGTCAGATACCAGGCTGAACAAAAAAATTGTACTAAAGTTAGTGAAGAATAGCAGCAGTAGAGTTACCTGTAAACCATTCCTGTCATAAAGCGGTGAAGGAAGTTGGAATGACTGGCGGCGAGACTGTGTTGAGTACTCAGACTCTATGTCAAAGTCAACAGGATGCACTGAAAGGAGTCGCTTGCTCCTCCGTACCTGAGGAGTTTGGGACATGAAAACTCTTGATAACTTACCACTAAAAATGAAAGCACACTGACCAATAGTCTGGCTTCTCCAGAACCCCCTTCCCCTGAATTAAAAGGATCCTAATTCCCCCAATTTATCCCTTGCTCTACCCAATCTCTCAAGCTCTTCCCCTAGTTCTCTGCCACTTCTCTTACCCCATTGACGAACATTCCCTAGAACACGCAAGATCCACTTTACATATCCTGCATATTTCTTTTGTGCAATAAAAAGCTGTTGTCTCACTAACCAGCAGTCAAAGGTCTTGATTTGGCAAGTTCTATGCTTGTCTAGCTCGGCAGACATTGTCATTGCCCCCCCCACATATCTGCTGTGATGAATACTGAATGCACTGTATCACTCTTTATACCGGTTACCTCCTACACCCAATGCCATTGAAGACATCATTTTAATTTAAAGAAACCACAGCTCTCATTTCACACACATGTGACATTCGGAAAAAACATTACTAGGCTATAACTCTGAGCCTCTGAGTCATCTAAGGTGTCTTCATTCACTTCAAGAACCCCCGCCATTGCCTGATGCTTGTATTCACCTATAAGGAATAATGGAGAGAACACAGAATTAATAGTGAGGATGGAACCTGACAGTGCAACTCTCAACACAGCAGTGCTTTAATGGGATCACAGGCATGAGGATCACAAAACAAATAGACAACACTAATGTCACTTACCATTTAATGGTGCATTGTTCCATCTCGGCACACAAATTATGCTAAAAGCACACACTCTGACCAGGTATGGAAAATAACTGTGCTCTATCTGGACTTACAGATATTAAGCTGTTCCATTTTATTGGCAGTGTGAGCAGTCCAAGCAGCCTTTCCTTCCTGTTATTGACAATGATGTTTATTTTTAAGTTAGCAGAGATCAGGTTAGGTGATTGATCATTTGGGCTTGTCACAGCATGTGCTGGAGATCAGACTGCAGAAGCTGGCAGGATACCAAGGCACAGACAACATGTCAGCTATCTTCACCTGGCTTAAATCGAACTTAACGGTCAATCAGCAGATCTGGCTGGATCTTATCAAATCCTACCGCTCTGCCCTCGCCTCCACTAAATCGTTGTTCTACTCCAAGACAATCTTGGAGGCCAAGGACATCCCCAGGCTCCTCTTCTCCATCACCAACCGGCTCCTTCCCCACCACCCTCTCACGCCTCATTCATCCTCACCTCCAATGTCAATTGTGAGGCAATGTTGGATTTTCTCGATCCAAAGTTGAAGGGATCCGCTCAGCTGCCTCTGCCCTTACATCTACTACCCCCTGCCCCATCTCCCCCCAGCCCCTACCCATCCCTCCCTCCACACCTTCAAACTCGTCTCCCACTCCTCTCTCCACCACTTTAACCCGCATGAAACCGACCATCTGCTTCCTTGAACCCATCCCTACCCCTCTCCTTACCTCCCAGTTCCACCTCCTTGCCCCTCCACTCACAGATATAAACCTATCCCTGTCCACTGGTACTGTTCCCACCCCATTAAAAATGGCCGTCATCACTCCTTTCCTTAAAAAACCCTCCCTGAATCCATCACTGCTCTTAAACTACTGACCCATCTCCAACCTCCCTTTCCTCTCCAAGGTCCTGGAAAGAATTGTTGCTTCCCAGCTTTGCTCCTTCCACTCCCGCCACTCCCTTCATGATCTCCTCCAATTCGGTTTCTATGCCGCCCACAGCACAGAAACAGCCCTGGTCAAAGTGACAAATGACATTCTGTCCATCTGCGACCAGGGCCCCCTCTGCCTTCTTGTCCTCGTTGACCTCTCTGCTGTCTTTGACACCATAGAAAATTCTATCCTCATCTGCCGCCTTGTCCTCTCACCTCAACCTTCATGGCTCTGTCCTTGACTGGTTCAGATTATACCGTTCACACTGCCTCCACTTCATCTCCTCAAACGGTTTCTCCTCTAGCCTCCACACCTTCTTGTGCAGTGTTCCTCAGGGCTTGTCTTTGGTCTCCTCCTCTTAAAAAAGCCGTGAAGTTAATGGCCAATTTTATCATACTGCAATATTATAAACTCCTTCCTCTTTTCAAACACTGCCATGGGATTTTGTCAGATAGACCTCGGTTTAATATCCCATCTGAAGGACAGCACCTCTGACAATGTGGCCCTGCTCCAGTATTGCACTGGAGTGCCAGCCTAGTCTATGAGCTCCAAGTCCTGATGATTTGAACCTACAACTTTCTGATCCAGAGGCAAGCATGCTACTGAGTGAAGCTGACATCTGCATATACTACAGGGATGTTACACCTTGTCAGAAGTGTGAGCATTCTTTGACTGGTTGGGGATGGGGGGTGGGGGGGGAGAGGGAAATAATTTCAGGGGTCATTGGGTACTGTGTTGGCTGGGTTATTTTCCCTGTATTGAATTAAGAGTGTGTGTGTGTTTTGGGGGGTTTTGGCTGGGTAGGATTGGGGGAAGAAGGTTCCTTTGGAGATATTTGGGGAATGGTTTGAATTGAGCAAACCAGAGTGGTCCAACAGGTGGCCCAGGGATGATTTCATCTGGCCCGAAACCATTTCCAACTTTGGGCCATCTGCTCCTTCCCTCCTCGAGGAATAGTTTTCTCATGGCAGCGGCAGGAGCCGGTGGTTGGGAGGACTAAGGGAGTGGATATAATTCCTGCCGTTACTGCAGTGTGTCAGGAAGTTAAGCACTTCTCCTTATCCACCACGTCCTTACCAACCACTGACTCCTGCCGCTGCAGTGTGCCAACCTGACTGAGAGAAAGAGGGGAGAAGGAGTGATTGAGAGAGCAGGAAAGAGAGAAAGTGAGGGGGAAAGAAAAAATAGAGAGAGTGTGAGTGACAGAGTGTGTGTGGGAGAGAGTGTGTGAGCAAGGGAGGAGAGAAAGACTGATTCGGAGGTGTAGAGAGTGTGATTGAGAGAGAGAGTGTGAAAGAGATAATAATAATTGTTGCATTTGATGTATACCTTACCATGTCTTTGAAACGTTTCAAAGCGCTTCACAGAATATACTGTAAAGTGAATTTACTGTATATTTTGTAGGCGAAACATGGCAGGCAATTGCGCACAGCAGGGTCCCACATGACCAAATTATTATATTTTTTTAAGGGATTATGAGAGGAGAGAGAGTGTGTGGGAGAGAGGGTGTAAGTAGGGGAGCGAGAGAGAATAATTGTGAGAGTGTGTGAGATAGATGGAGAGAATGTATGTGAGAGAGCGCATGAGAGGAAGGGCGGGGAGAGGCAGTGTGATTAAAAGAGAGAGAGAGAGAGAGAGCATGAGGGAGAAGGAGAGGGAGAAATAAAGGGACTGATAGACACCACAGAGAGAGAGAAGTGAGGGCAGTGTTTAAGTGCTGAGTCGCTACCCCGTGTGGAGGGCGCTATATAAGTACAAGTTGTTGTTTGTGGTTCACTGTCAGGACAATCAAGCGTCCCTTGGCCACTAGCAGATAAAACAGCTAACGAGCAATGGGAAGCCTTCAAGAAGGATATAGTTTGGGGACGGAACAAATACATTCCTACAGAAGGCAAAGGTAGGGCATCCAAACCTCCCTGGATGTCTAAGGAAATTGGGATTAAAATAAAGCAGAAAAAGGAGTGATACTACCAATGGTTGTTGAAGTCAAGTTCCATCTCACAGTTCAGAGGGTATTAGATAGAAACATGTGAGGAAAAATATTAAAGGAAAAAATACAGGGGATTAAGGGGAAGGTATGGAGCTGGAGTCAGTACGGACACAATGGGAAGAGTGGAGGGGAACAACAACAACTTGCCCTTATATAGCGCCCTCGCCTGACTCCGAGGTGGGTGAGATAGCCGTAAACACGGTCGAAGAGGAAGGTTTTCAGGCAGATGTTGAGAAAGTAGTGGCTGAAAGTGCAACCTCTGATGGTGGGGCGAGGGACGAACAGGAGGCCGGTGTCAGTTGAGTGGAGGCGCCGGGTGGTGGACTGGGGAGTGAGGAGGTGAGAGAGGTAGGGAGTTGCCAGAGAGTGAAGGGATCTGAACATGAGTGTGAGGATCTTGAAGTCGATCCATTCGGTGATGGGGAGCCAATGGAGCCTGGCCAGAACTGGTGATATGTGAGTACGGAGTTTGTTCCGGGTAAGTGTGTGGGCGGCAGAGTACTGAATGAGCTGGATCTTTTGAATAGTGGAGCTGGGGAGATCGTTGAGTAGTAAGTTTGAGTAATCTAGGCGGGAGGTGACACTTGAGGGTTACTTTGGGGTAAGGTATGGTCCGAGGCGGCAATGTGGTGGAGGTGGAAGAAGGTGGTGCTGATCAGGGACCGGATGTGGGGGAGGAAGGATATCTGGGGGTCGACCGGATGCCTAGAATGTGCACTGGTTCGGTGAGTCTGAGGGAGAGTCCAGGGAGGTTGAGGAGTTCAGATCCACAGGAGTGAAGAAGTTGACAGGTGCAAGGAGTATGTTGTTCATATTCAGCTGCAGGAAGTTTGCACTCAACCAGGTTCTGGTGTCTGCCAGACAAGCTGATAGTATATCGGCAGACCTGGAGTTGGTACTGGAGGAGGCAAAGTAGATTTTTGTGTCATCTGCATACATGTGGAAGTTCACCCCGTGTCTGCGGATGACATCGCCCAGAGGGAGCATATAGATAGGAAAAGGAGAGGGCCAAAGATGGAGCCCTGGGGTGACCGGGTGGGGACGGAAGGAGAAACCATTTGCCGAGATGAAATGGAGGCGGTCCCACTAAGGCAGATGAGGGAGGAGAGGCGGTGGTGGAGGATGGTGTGATCGATTGGGTCGATCACAGCAGAGAGATCCAGGAGGATGAGGAGGCAGAGGGAGCTGTGGGCATGGGTGGGTTTTTTGAGGAGGGGTGTGATAACAGTGGTTTTCAGTGGGAGTGGAACAGGGCCTGAGGAGAGAGACTGGTTGACTATGTCGGCCAGCAGGGGGGAGAGGAGGGGGAGTTGGGTGACCAGCAGCTGGGTGGGGAAGGGGTCGAGGCAGCAGGTGGTGAACTTAATCCAGGTGATTGTTGTTGAGAGGGAGGAGAAGAAATGGGGAAAAGGAGTGTAAGGAGGACAGGAACCGTGGCAGAGGGAGAAGGCTGTGTTGATGGTCTTGAAGGCTGGAAGAGGACATGGTGGGCAGAACGATGCAGCCAAGCGAATGTTTTCAATCTCTGAGACAAAGAAGTCTAGGACCTCTTCACACTTTGAGTTTGATGTGAGGATAGAGGAGGCTTGAGGGGGTGCACGGAGGAGGTGATGGACGGTGGAAAACATCGCCTTTGGATTGTTGTTTGTCTCCAGGATCACTTTGGAGTCAAATTCAGTTTGGGCCTGTGAAAGGGAGAGCTGGTAGGTGCGGAGATGCTTGAGCCACAGCTGACGGTGAACAGTGAGACTGGATTGCTGCCATCTGCACTCGAGCAGTGGGGTTTGTGTTTTGAGTGAGCAAAGATGATTGTTGTACCGGGGGAGTGGGTGAGTTTGGAAACAACCCTGGATTTCAGGGGAGCCGGGGAATTGAAGGTTATGGAGAGACAGGTTAGAGTAAAGAGCTCCACTGGGGGAGCGAGCACCAGCACAGACACAATGGGGAGAGAGAAGGGGAATGGGGTTAGAGTAGAGCTGCAGTGAGAGAGCTGGAGCCAGCACCGGGACAAGGAGACAAATAGCTTCCTTCTGTTTATAAACCTTCTGTGATTCTACTATGATTAGAGGCAGGTGACGATGGAATTGTTGAACATAAAGGAAACTGTTGTTCTCTCACCGGGAGTGTAATTCTCATAGGCACTGTAAGATCCACCTTGTTCATCAGACAAGCCTGTAGAGGATAATAAACTATAAGTTAACAATATTAAAACCAGAATTTTTATTATTCATTATAATAATCAGGAAACCTTTTAACTCCTCAGTTTTCCCTGTTGCTCTCCTGAAGCTCTCCTCACTCTAATGTATCGATCCACAGGTGACATCTGCCACTTGGTCTTGTCCAAGCTCCATTCATGAAACCCTGACTAATGCTATGTTAGCAGATCTCATCTGAGGCAGAGGTGTGTGTTAGTTTGCCTCAGCTTCCCTGGGAGGTGAAAGTCACAAGGGTTTTCTCCCCAAAGAGCGAACCAGAGACTCCCCACCCCCCACCACCCCCATGTTGGAAAAGTGCTTTGGTGTGTGTGACGACATGGCTGTGATGCTCCCCAAACCCTGCCAACACCAAAGTTTCACAGTACGATACTCCTTTTGGTTTTTTCCTTGCTCCCTGGCCTGTTGGCAGAATACCCAACAGGATGTGGAGGAAATAAAAACACAAGTCGCTAGGAACACACAGAATGCCAGGCAGCATCTACGGAGAGATGAAAGTGAGTTTCTATGGATGACCTTTCATCGACCTAAAACATTAAATCACTTTCCTCTCTCCATAGATGCTGCCTGACCTGCTTTGTGTTCCCAGTGACTTCTGTTTTTATTTCAGATTTCCAGCATCTGCAGTATTTTGTCTTTTGTAGGATGTGGAAGATGCTGAGTGAGGAAGAATGTCCCCTTGGCAGAGGGAATACAAATAGGCTTCATGGAACCATGAACCAGAAAGAGTCATTGCTTTCAGAAGAGTGAGGGTGCAATAAACATGGAAGCTGATTAAAGATTTTTTTTAACAATGATTTCATTCATTGAAGCTACAATAAAATTCTGTTGAGCTAACTTAACAATGTTTTCTCAAGCTTTCTGTATAAATCAACTTTAACAGGCTGTAAAATTACAAAATCAAATGTGTTTTCAATCTTCTGAACTAGAAATATATAGGATCTGTGCCCTGACATGGAGTGCCTTGAACAGATCTAAAGGACAGGGTAGATAGCATGTGACTGTTTCCCCCGGTTGGAGAATCTAATCCATAGACTCGGGATTAAAGGTCAGCCTTTTCGAACTGAGTTGAGGAAACATTTCTTCACTCAGAGTAGTGAATTTGTGGAATTCTCTACCCCAGAAGGCTGTGAATGCTCGGTCCTTGAACATATTCAAGACTGAGGTTGATAGATTTCTAAAGGATAAAGGGATTATATTCCTTTATTTTATATAATTTATATTTTTTATAATATTTTTATTATATAATATTTTATAATAAAAATAATTTTATTTTAAAAAATATTAAATTAAGGATATGGGGATAGGACGGGTAAATGGAATTAGGTTAGAAGATCAGCCATGATCTTATTAAATGGTGGGGCAGACTTGAGGGGTAGAATGGCCTATTCCTGCTCCTACGTCTTATGGTCTAAACTACTCTTTTTGATCTATATGAATGTCCTGGACTTGGGTATAGGGAGTACAATTTCCAGGTTTGCAGATGATACTAAGCTAGGTAGTAAACATTGAGAATCATAGCAGCAGATTGCAAGAGGACATAGACAGACAGGTGAAATGGGCAGACATGTGGCAAATGAAGTTTAATGTGGAAAAATGCGAAGTCAGGAAGTTATGATGAACCTTTATAAAACACTGGTTAGGTCTCAGCTAGAGTGCTGTATTCAGTTCTGGACACCACACTTTAGGAAGGATGTCAAGGCAACAACAACAACAAGATTATATTTGTATAGCGCCTTTCACGTTGGGAGGACGTCCCAAGGCGCTGGACAGAGTACAGCATTTCAGACCCGAACTGGGGTCGGGAGGGGAAGCGAGGTGACTGATGGCATGGTTGAAGAGGAAGGTCTTGAGGGATTTGAAGGAGGCTAAGGAGGGGGTGAGGTGGAGTGATTGGGGGATGGAGTTCCAGAGGTTGGGGGCAGAGTGGCTGAAGGCTCTCCTGCCAATGGTGGGCGGGTGGGTCGGGGGACATGGAGCAGGCCAGAGCCGGCTGAGCGGAGGGAACAGGCAGGTTGGTAGGGGGTTAGGAGGTCACAGAGGTAGGGTGGGGCGAGGCCATGGAGGGCTTTGTATGTGAGGACCAGGATCTTGAATTGGATCCTCTGAAGGATAGTGAGCCAATGGAGTCGGGTGAGAGTGGGGGAAATGGGGTCACAGAGTTTGGTGCGGGAGAGGACACAGGCTGCAGAGTTCTGGATTATCTGCAGCCTGTGGAGAGAGGAGTTGGGGAGGCCGACAAGCAGGGCATTTGCCTCGTCGAGCCTGGAGGTGATGAAGTTTGCCCTCATCCAGGACTTGATGTCCGACAGGCAGTCTGTCAGGACAGCAGTGATCCTGGAGTTGAGGGTGGAGGCAGAAAGATAGAGTTGGGTGTCATCCGCATACATGTGGAGGTTGACTCCATGTCTGCGGATGATGTCACCAAGGGGGAGCATGTAGATATTAAAGAGGAGAGGGCCAAAGACAGAGCCCTGGAGGACGTCAGATGTGACAGTGCGGGGGCTGGAGGAGAAACCGTTAGAGGCAACGAAGTGGAGACGGTGAGAGAGATAGGAATCGAACCAGGCAAGTGCAGGTCCGCGAAGATTGAGTAAAGCGGAGAGGCGGTGTATGAGGATGGAGTGGTCGACAATGTCTAAGGTGGCAGAGAGGTCGAGGAGGACAAGGAGGCAGAGGGAGCCCTGATCACAGATGTTCAGAAGGGCATTAGTGACTTTGATCAGGGCTGTTTCCATGCTGTGGGCAGCGCGGAAGCCGGATTGGAGGGGTTCAAAGAGGGAATGGCGAGAGAGAAAGGAGCGGAGCTGGGACACTACGACTCATTCCAGGACCTTGGAGAGGAATGGGAGGTTAGAGATGGGCCGGTAGCTGGAGAGGAGGGATGGTTCCAGGAATGTTTTTTTCAAGATGGGGGATATGACGGCTGTTTTTAGGGTGGTGGGATCTGAACCGGTGGACAGGGAGAGATTGATGACATCGGACAAGAGAGGGGCCAGAAGGTAGAACTGGGAGATGAGGAGAGAGGTGGGGATGGGATTGAGGGAGCAGGTGGTGGGTTTGAGTTTGCGGACAGTTGTGGTGAGGGAGGAGGGAGAGATAAGGTCGAAAGAGTATAGAGGGGGATGGGTGGGGGTTGGGTCATGAGAAAGAGGCGTTGGGGGCGTGGTGGTGGACGGGGAAGAGGTGGCTGAATGTATTCAGCTATCGATTTTGGATTTGAGGAAGTCTAGCATCTCCTCACAGTTGGAGTTTGAGGAGAGGATGGGCGAGGCATGGGAAGGTGGATGGAGGAGAGGGTGCAAAGGAGATTTACCAGGATGGTACTAAGAATGAGGGAATTTAGTTATCAGGAGGGGCGAGAGAAGCTAGAATTATTCTCCTTGGAGCAGAGAAGGTTAAAAGGAGACTTAATAGAAGTTTTCAAAATTATGAGAGGATTCGATGGGGTGGTCAAGGAGAAACTATTTCCAATGGTGTGTGGCTTGGTAACCCGAGGACACCAATTTAAAATAGTTGTTAAAAGAAACAGAGGGGAGGTGAGGAGAAATATTTTCACACAGCGAGTTGTTTGGATCTGGAATTCATTGCCTCAAAAGGGTGATTGAAGCCAATTTGATAACAACGTTTAAGAAAGAAACTTTTAAGAAAGAAGTAGATAATTGACTGGGGAGGACAAGTTTGTAGGGCTATGGGGAGAGAGCAGAGGAGTGGGATTGATTTGGATAGCTCTTTTCAAAGAGCGGCACAGACACGATGGGCCGAATACATCTGTTTAGTATAATTCTATGATTCTATGATCACTGATGCTCTGCAGCGCCACCTACTGACTCACACACAAAATTAATTGGTGCTGATGCTGAGCAATGGTTGTTGTTTCCCACCTCACAGAGGTACAGAAAAAATGCACACACCACATTGGTTGTAATTGGTGTCCTCGGATTACCGAGCCACCCGCCAGTGGAAAAAGTTTCTCCTTGACCACCCCATCGAATTCTCTCATAATTTTGAAAACTCCTATTAAGTCTCCTCTTAACCTTCTCTGCTCCAAGGAGAATAATTCTAGCTTCTGCAGATAATCCAGTATTCTAGTTGTTGTTATTATTCAAATGCGCTCCTCGCCAGTCTCCCCTCCACTACCATCCATAAAATCCAGGTCATACAAAACTCTGCCGCCTGCATTCTTACCCACACCAAACTCCGCTCCCCGATCACCCCAGTCCTTGCCAGACTGCACTGGCTGACTGTCCCAGAGAGGATCGACTTCAAGATCCTCACCCTTGTTTTCAAATCACTCCACTCCTCTGTAACCCCCTACCTCTCTGACCTCCTCTCTCCTCAAAACAGTGCCCATTGCGTTCGTTCCACCAGGTCTGGCCTCCTCCTTGTCCCCTGACTCCTCCGCTCCACCCTCGGTGGCCGTACCTTCAGCCACTATGCCCCGAGGCTCTGGAACTGCCTTCCTCACTCCCTTCGCCTCGCCCCTTCTCTTCCTATTTCCAGGTCTCGGCTGAAGAACTTTTTTTTCGACCCCGCCTTTGGTCACCTTCTTCCCGCTCCCCCTGGCTCGGCCCTGGGATCCTTACTGTGAAGTGCTCTGAGACGCCATCCGGCGTGGAGGGCACTATATAAATCCAAGTTGTTGTTGTTGCTATTTGGTTCAGGCCCTGTTCAGTAACAGACAATCTGTTATAGAACATTATTTGGTTAACTCATGGATTTGGAGTAAAAACATCAATAAACTTGTGTGTCTATGGTGTCTAGGATGGGGAGGAAATCTGGGTTAATACACTGATCTTCCAGGTTCAAATCCAACCCACACTGTAATGATTCTCAATCCATCTCAAGTAACTCATTTATTCACTACTCCCAAAAATCCAATCCTCCAACCATAAATGCTTTGAGACGTCTCAAAGACACAATAAGGTCCTATATCAAATGCAAGGATTATTATAAATCCTAGTTCTCTTTCCAGGATCCTTTTATATTTTCTCCCTCCTGGCCGGTGCTTGTAGATGGGATTGAATCCTAGCTGTGGCACAGTCATGTCTCAGTACTGGTGAACAGTAATTTAAGCTAGGGTTGCCGGTTGCCCTGGTACCATTCCCGCAGTACCTTCAGGAGAGGCGATTGAAGGTATTTGTGGATAATAATAATCCTTGCATTTGATATAATTTGATATAATGCTTTATCACATTGTTGAGATGTTTCAAAGCGCTTCACATGATACACTGTAAAGTGGATCTGACTGTGCATTTTGTGGGCAAAACGTGGCAGCCAATTGCCCACAGCAATGTCAAACAAACAGTCATGGAGTGAGTGACCAATTTTCTCAGTCCTGACCTATTCTGCCCTCAAAAAGTGAAGGGGTTGAGTAAGAGACAGTATTAACCAATAGTTTGGTTGTGCTGTGTGTGAGGCATGTTTTAAGCTCTGACAAAAACTCTTTCGAAATTAAGTTACATCTCAATATTAAATAATCCAATAAATTTTAAGTGAAAGCTCAGCATTGTGGAGTACACAGGAAATCAGGCAGTGCCTTAAGGACTGCAGTGTAAGAAATGACTATCCTACCGAAGTGTCCTGGGGAGGGCTTCTCTCCGGGCTGACGTCTCCTGTGCAGGGAACGCATGACCTTGGTGCTGCCAAAATGCTTGAAGCGAGACTTCACATGGCTGTAGAACCATTCGAGTGACCCAATCTTCACAATCCTGCAGGAAAGAGCAACAACCTCGATTTCTGAGCAGAGTAAGGACAGAGCTTGACAGTTGAGACACATCCTGTGAGCTATTGCAAAGTTATAAGCTAAACTGTGAGTTATGTGAGTTTCTTTTCAATGCAGAAACTCTGAGGCACCAAAGAGCTGCATGGTGATTAGAATATTGAGTATATGGAAGTTGTGACCAGTGTCATAATACAAATATGATAATGCCGCTCGATACAGCCAAGTAAATATCATGAGAAGCCCCAGCACAAATGTGTGAAACAGTATGAAGATCAGGATCCACATTTCCAACCTATACATTGACAACCAATAACCACAAGGTGGCGATCATGCAGTGCTAATGGCTCTATGCTGATCAATTGCAGCCCCAGTTGTGGGAAAAGTGCACAATCCTTTAGTCTGTGAGAGGGAGGCTTCTGGTTAATTCTGTTCAACTCCAACCTGCATGATAAAAGGTTTGTTGAGAGTCGGAAAGCATTCCATATTTCTGTGCAACCACCGTGAGCCCTGATGGGTTTCTCAGTTGCAAAAGGACACATCCTTAAAATCAGGGCAGAATGGGTCAGGACTGAGAAAAGGCAAAATTTCTTCTCAGAGAGTGATAAGAATCTGGGACACACAGCCCCACAACGTCAGAGAGGAGATATCAGTTGAGGGATTTAATAATAATAATAATAATCCTTGCATTTGATATAGCGCTTTTCACGTCGGGAGGACGTCCCAAAGTGCTTCACAGAACACACTGTAAAGTGAATTGACTGTATATTTGTGGGCGAACTCAGCAGCCAATTGCGCACAGCAATGTCCCACAAACAGTCGTAGATTGAAAATGACCAATTTATTATTATTTTTGGACGGATTATTATTAGGTGTGTGGAGTTAGGAAACTTGCCCAAGGTTTCGCCCTCTGCCTGGAATTGAACTCAGGTCTCTTGCTTGCAAAGTGAGTGCTCTAACCACTGAGCTACAGGACTCCACGAGGGATCAATAAATATTTGAGGAGCGTAAGGTATTAAAGAATAATTTAATACCTTTATTTAAAGGTACATTGCCTTTCTCTTCAGGACCATATTCAAAAGCGCTTCACAGTATGTTCTGTATATACTGGATTGACTGCCCCTTTTGTGGGTAAAGTTGTCAACCAGCTTCCACAAGGCGTGTTCCACAAAAACAGCTATGGAGTGAGTGACCAATTTTATTTGAGGGATTGTCAACCAGGTCATCGGCAGAGAGGAACTTCCTTCTCTTTTCGAATAGTCCCATGGAATCTTTAACATCCACCTGATAGCCAGTATAGATTCATGAAGGGGACAGTACATACATGCATGCGACCACCAGGAAGGTGGAAGGCGAACTAGATGGACCTTGGTCTTTTTTCATCTCGCATTTCTTACGTTCTTAATAATAATAATAATAATCCTTGCATTTGATATAGCGCTTTTCACGTCTTCTAGACATCTCAAAGCGCTTCACAAAAATACTGTAAAGTGAATTGACTGTATATTTGTGGGCAAAACGCAGCAGCCAATTGCACACAATGTCCCACAAACAGTCATGGATTGAGTGACCAAATTATTATTTTTTTCTTAAGCGATTATTATCAGGCGAGTGGAGTAAGGAAACTTGCCCAAGGTTTCACACAGCCAGGAATTGAACCCAGGTCTCTCACTTGCGAGGCAAGTGCTCTAACCACTGAGCTACAGGACTCCTTCTTATGTTCTTATGAGGTTTTACAGCTCATCTGAAGGACGGCACCTCCAACAATACAACATACCCTCAGCATTGGAATGTCAGCATACACTATGTGATTCCACGTCTCAATGTGGGGTTTGAACCCACAACCTTCTGAGTCAGAGGTGAGAGCGCTACCAGTGGGCCAGCCTGGGAGATGGTTGCAATAGGAGCGAGTTCGATGGGCTAAACCATTCCCTCCTAGTTGCTAAATGTTCAAATCGTGAGAAGGCAAACCTCAGAATCCTGCAGAGTACAGTTTGAGATTTCTTTCAGGAAATTGTCTTCTGTAAAAATTAAATAACATGGGAAAGCAAGAACAGGAGAAAGATACTAAGTCCCTCTTCTAGCCTGTTCCACCTCGGACATAGAAAGCAATAATTGCTTTCCAACACCCGAGCCAGGCACCCTCACCACACACCACCCAGCACAGCCACCCTCACCACACACCACCCAGCACAGCCACCCTCACCACACACCGCCTGAGCCAGCCTTGCTCATCACACAGCTCCTGTCTACGCTATGGTCAGCGGGCTACGACCTACTCCATGTCACCCGCCTTGGCACCCCATCATTGGCGGTTGGGCCTTCAGGCTCTCTGCCCCCACCCTTTGGAACTCCATCCTACTGTCCCTTTGCCTCAGCCTCTCCTTTGCCTCCTTCAAGGCACTTCTCAAGAACTTACTCTTCGACCACTCCTTCGGTCGCCCTCCTACCTCTACTCTCCCTGCCCTCCACCCCTCCTGATCCCAACTACCAGCTAGTGGGCACATCCCTGACAATCCAGTGCCTTAGGATTTCCTCCCAATCTGAAAGATGCTGTATAAATGTAATTTATTGTTGTGTTCCATACAGTGTCTGACCTGGCCACTCGGCAGGGGTCACACACCCAGCCGTACTCCTTCTTGTGGAACTTGCTGCAGTTTTTGCAAGTGAAGAGGCAGCAGTCCAAGCAGCACCGCTTGCTGTTGACTAGGAGCTTGAAGGGCTCCAGGCAGTGAATGCAGTGACCTTTGTTGAACTTGGCTTGCTTTGTCAGCAATTTTCTTTTGGTGCCTTCTTCCTCAATCTTGCACTTCAGGCTCCTGGACAAGATGAGACAGAGAGAAAGAGAAGATTGAAAGAAAGCAAAACAGGTGTTAATAATGACTCTTGCATTTGATTTAGCACCCTATAATGTTGTCGAGACGTCTCAAAGAACTTCATAGGACATACTGTAAAGTGCATTTACAGTATGTTGACTGTATTTCGTGGGTGAAATGCAGCAGTCAGTTTCCACGCACCAATGTTCCAGAACAATGTTAAAGAAAGTATAAAATTAAAAGAAGAGGCCTATAATATTGCCAAGAAGAGCTGTAAACCTGAGGATTGGGAGGGCTTTAGAGATCAGCAAAGGAAAACCAAGAAATGGATTAAGAGGGAGAAAATTGAATATGAGAGTAAACTAGCTAGAGATATAAAGACAGATTGTAACAGCTTTTTCAAGTATATAAAGAGGAAGAGATTATCAGAAGTAAATGTAGGTCCCTTACAGGCAGACAGGAGAAATTATAATGGGGAATAAAGAAATGGCAGAGTCACTAAACAAATACTTTGCTTCTGTCGTCATGTTGGTGAAGATACTAAAAAACTTAGCAAAAATAGTGGGGAATCAATAGACTATGTTAGTGAGGAATTTAAATAAATTAATATCAGTAAAGTAATAGTACTAGAGAAATTGATGGGACTAAAAACTGATAAATCCCCTGGACCGGATGGCCTGCATCCTGGGGTTTGAAAAGAGGTGGCTGCAGAGATAGTGGATGCATTGTTTTTGACCTTCCAAAATTCCCTGGATTCTGGAACAGTTCCCGTTGATTGGAAGGTCGCAAACGTAACACTGCTAATTAGGAAGGGTGGGAGAGAAAAAATGGGGAACTATAGACCAATTAGCCTGACATCGGTGGTAGGGAAAATTCTAGAGTATAATTAGGGACGTCATTGTGGGGCACTTAGAAAGTCATAATATAATTAGACTATGCAAACGCTCTGCTTGTCGGCCTTCCCAACTCCTCCCTCCACAGGCTGCAGATAATCCAGACCTCTGCAGCCCGTGTCCTCTCCCACACCAAACTCCGGACCCCATCTCCCCCATTCTCGCCCGACTCCATTGGCTCCCTATCCTTCAGAAGATCCAGTTCAAGATCCTGGTCCTTACATACAAAGCCCTCCATGGCCTCAACTAGCAGGTTGGATTGGGGGGAACGAGTGGATATCGTGTATTTGGATTTTCAGAAGGCATTCTACAAGGTGTCACATAAAAGGTTGTTACATAAGATTAAGGCTCCTGGGATTAAGGGTAATATATTAGCATGGATCGAAGAGTGGTTAACAGGCAGAAAACAGAGAGTAGGGATAAATGAATCCTTCTCAGATTGGCAGGTTGTGACTAGTAGAGTACCGCAAGGATCAGTGCTTGGGCCTCATCTGTTACAGTCTACATTAATGACTTAGATGAGGAAATAGAGCTTAATGTATCTAAATTTGCAGACGATACAAAGCTAAGTGGGAAAGTGAGCTGTAAGGAGGACACAAGGAGGATGCAAAGGATATAGACAGGTTAAGTGAGTGGGCAAAAAGGTGGCAGATGGAGTATAATGTGGGGAAGTGTGAATTCACCTAGGCAGAAAAAATAGAAAAGCAGATTCTTTTCTAGTGGGGGAGAGACTATTAGGGGAGGTTATTATTCAGCAGGATTTAAGTGTCCTTGTACACCAATCACAGAAAGTTAGTATGCAGGTACAGCAAGCAATTAGAACGGCTAATAGCGTGTTAGCGTTTATTGCAAAGAGGTTAAAGTAGGGAAGTCTTGCTGCAATTGTATAGGGCCTTGGTGAGACCGCACCTGGAATATTGTGTGCAGTTTTGGCCTTCTTATCTAAGAAAGGATATACTCGGTTCACTAGGTTGGTTTCTGGGATGAGCAGGTTGACCTACGAGGAGAGATTGAGTAGACTAGACCTATATTCTCTAGAATATAGAAGAACTAGAGGTGATCTTATAGAAACCTATAAGAGTCTTAAGGGTCTTGACAGGGTAGATAGTGTGAGACTATTTCCCCTACTTAGAGAATCTAAAACTAGGGGTCATAGTCTCAGGACTAAAGCCCTTTAGAACTGAGTTGAGAAAATATTTTTTCACTTAGAGGATAGTGAATTTATGGAATTCTTTACCCCAGAAGGCTGTGGATGCTCAGTCATTGAACATATTCAAGACCTAGATCGATAGATTTTTAAAAACTAAAGGGATTAAGGGATATGGGCATAAGGCGGGTAAATGGAATAAGGTTAGACGATCCCCACACAGTTGCTTATCACCCAACTCCCCCTCTTCTCACTGTTGGCTGACACAGTCAACCAGTCACTCTCCTCAGATTCTGTTCCTCTCCCCATTAAAACCACTGTCATCACTCCCATCCTCAAAATACGCACATTTAACTCCTCCAACCTCACAAATTATCGACCCATTTCCAACCTGCCCTTCCTTGCCAAAGTTCTGGAATGTGTTGTCGCTAACCAGCTTTGCTCTTAGCTCTTCCTCCACTCCCTCCTCGAGCTCCTCCAGTCCGGTTTCCACTCTGCCCACAGCACAGAGATGGTGCTTGTCAAGGTTACAAATGACATCCTCTCTCTTTAACCAGGGCTCCCTCTCCCTCTTCAACCTCCTGGACCTCTCCGCTGCGTTCGACACAGTCAACCACGACATCCTCATCCACCGCCTCTCCTCCCTCATCCACCTTAATGAGACCTCACTAACCTGGTTTGAGTCCTGTAGCTCAGTGGTTAGAGCACTCACTTTGCAAGTGAGAGACCTGAGTTCAATTCCAGGCAGAGGGGGAAACCTTGGGCAAGTTTCCTTACTCCACACAGAGCCTAATAATAATCCCTCCAAAACCAAAAAATAATAATAAATTGGTCATTTTCAATCTACGACTGTTTGTGGGACATTGCTGTGCGCAATTGGCTGCCGCGTTCGCCCACAGATATACAGTCAATTCACTTTACAGTGTGTTCTGTGAAGCGCTTTGGGACGTCCTCCCGACGTGAAAAGCGCTATATCAAATGCAAGGATTATTATTATTACCTAACAAACCGCCTTAAGTTTGTCTCTTCAAACGGTTTCTCCTCCCGCCCCCGCCCAGTCACCTGTGGTGTATCCCAGGGCTCCATCCTTGGCCCCCTTCTCTTCCTCATCTGTATGCGCCCTCTAGGTGACACACATTTGTCTATTTCTCCTCCGCCAGCTGTGACTCAAGGTCTGCCGATGCTCTGTCGGCTTGCCTGGCAGACATCAGAGCCTGGCTAAGTGCAAACTTCTTGCAACTAAATGTCAACAAGACGGAAGTCATACTCATTGGCTCCCATCAACGTCTGCTATCCTGCGGCTCTGATCTCTTCAACCTCCCCAGCCTATCCCTCAGACTCACAAGCACCAACCTAAGCGTCAGGTTCGACACGCAGTTGTCCTTCCTTCCCCACATCCGGTCCCTGACCAGGACCGCCTTCCTTACTCCTGCCACATTGCCCATCTCCCACCGTATTGACCCCAGACGCAGCCGAAACACTCGTCCATGCGTTCGTCACCTGCCAACTCGATTTTTCAAACTCCCTCTTCACTGGTCTTCCCAACTCCCATCCACAAGATCCAGCTAATCCAAAAGTCCATCACCCGCATACCCTACTAAACTCTGTACCCGCATCACACCAGTTATAGCCAGGTCCACTGGTTTCCTATCGCAGAATGGATTGAAAATACACAGCCACTACAATTTACAGTATATTCTGCGAAGCGCTTAGCGACATCTCAACGTGATAAGGCGCTATATCAAATGTAGGATTATTATTATTTAAAGATTCTCACACTCGCTTTCAAATCCCTTCATGCCCTGGCACCATTCTACCTCTCCAACTCGCTTAATCCCCAAGCCCTGCTGCCTCTGCTTGACTGGCTCCGGCCTCCTGCATGTCCTTCGTGCCCTCCCTAACACCGTTGATGACTGTGCTTTTAGCCACTACACCGCCAAACTCTGGAACACTCTTCCTCTATCCCTCTGCGTTGCCCTTCCTTCCCCATCTTCAGATTACACCTGAAGACCTTTCTCTTTGACCATGCCTACAGTCACCTCCTCCTCCCCCGCTCGGTGTCATGCTCCGCCACTGTCAAGTGCTCTGGAACGCTACCATGCGTGAGGAGTGCTATATAAATCCGAGTTGTTGTTATACATGTACGTGTATGTATTTATGTGCATTGAGTCTGTATGTATACGTGTATGAATCTCTGTGAGTGCGTGTTGTTCATACCAGTGTGAACATGTGCGTGCATAACACAGAGGATATTGTTCAAGATTCTGTTCTTCACTTTCAAAGCCCTCCAAGATCTTGTTCCCCCCCTACTTCTGTGACCTCCTAACCTCTTCCCATCCTGCCTGCTCCCTCCGCTCAGTGGGGTCCGGCCTGTTTCATGTCCCTCACCTCACCACCCCCACCATTGGCGGACAGGCCTTCTGCCACTCTGCGCCCATCCTCTGGAACTCCATGCCGCAGTTCCTCTGCCTCGCCCCCTCCCTTGCCTCCTTCAAGACCCATCTCAAGATCCTGCTCTTCGACCGTGCTTTCGATCACCCTGCTTCCTCCCCTTGCCCTCCACCCTCCCCAATCCTGACCCTCAGCTTGGGTCCGAAACCCTGTCTGTCCAGCGCCTTGGGACGTCCTCCCGATGTGAAAGGTGCTATACAAATGTAATTTTGTTGTTGTTGCATAATCTACTTGTGTGTGTAGTCTGTCTGTATACGTGTCCCCAAACTGTCTTCAATGCGTCACTCTCCCTCAAAGGGATGATCACAGGATGGCTGGTACCACAATATAGTCTTGTTATATTTGAGGCCTGGATGCCTCACTGAGGTGGAAAAGGAGACTCTACCACTCTTTGGATGAGATGTTAAACTGAGGTCCCGTCTGCCTGTTTAGGTGGATGGTAAAGATCCCATGGCATTATTCGAAAAGAGAAGGGAGTTTCTCCTGGTGTCCTGCCCAACAATCCGTCAAAT